CTATCTCTTGAGACATACATTGGGTACCTGGGTAGGGTCGGGTAATAGGGGGCGGGTACCCAAGTAGGGTCAGGTAATAGGGGGCGGGTACCCAAGTAGGGTCAGGTAATAGGGGGCGGGTACCCAAGTAGGGTCAGGTAATAGGGGGCGGGTTCCCATGTAGGGTCAGGTAATAGGGGGCGGGTACCCAAGTAGGGTCAGGTAATAGGGGGGTGGATACCCGGGTAATAAATTTGGACTCGTCCCAGCTCTACCCGGTACTTGCTTCAATCTGTATTTCATGACCAGCTGATGCTGTGAAAAATAGAATCCCATGTCTCGCGTAGATTGCCTTGTGGACAAAGGGTGGTCCCTCTGGAAGCAGACCTTTCAGACAGTTCAACAGATTTAATGAGAAATATTGGCAAACCAAATGTTTCCAGTTTCCTATTGTGTAACATATGTAAATTCACTCTTTGGCAGTAGAACAAATTGTAAATGCCAAACAAATGATAAAACCACTGTCATATTATTCCAAGCTCTGTAACAGAGATCGCAGGATCTGTAACAGAGATAACTTTGACTGTGACGGAGACACAGGTTATAATGTCACAACATTATTCCTCTCCTGTTGCAAACCAATCTCATCAATACATCAAACAAGATTCATCTCCGCATCTCACGGTATTCATCTCCACATCTCACAGTATTCATCTCCGCATCTCACGGTATTCCTCTCCGCATCTCACGCTATTCATCTCTCTATCTCACAGTATTCATCTCCGCATCTCACGCTATTCATCTCCGCATCTCAAGGTATTCATCTCCACATCTCACGGTTTTCATCTCTGCATCTCACGGTATTCATCTCTGCATCTCATGGTATTCATCTCCACATCTCATGGTATTCAACTCCGCATCTCACAGTATTCATCCCTCTATCTCACGGTATTCATCTCTGCATCTCATGGTATTCAACGCCGCATCTCACGGTATTCATCTCTCTATCTCACGGTATTCAACGCCGCATCTCACGGTATTCATCTCTGCATCTCACGCTATTCATCTCCACATCTCACGGTATTCATCTCTGCATCTCACGGTATTCATCTCTCTATCTCACGGTATTCATCTCCACATCTCACGGTTTTCATCTCTGCATCTCACGGTATTCATCTCCACATCTCACGGTATTCAACGCCGCATCTCACGGTATTCATCTCCGCATCTCACGGTATTCATCTCTCTATCTCACGGTATTCAACTCTGACATACATTCTTGTTGATGAACCTGCTTCAGAAAGATCGCTTCACAAGTTAACTCTTTCTGAAGGCAACTGCTTCTCTGAAAGCTTCACTTCTACCCAGACCTGAATACAATAAAATCAATCTGACATTAAGAAGCTGGGGGAATCAGGTCAGGGGTCCTTACCCTCCATAAACTGTCAATCACCACACAATCACACTTGTCCGAGTAAAAGCAGTCACGTTCAGGAAGGGGGATCTCAAGCACCGTTACAGGGCTGTTACAGCCACGACAATTGGAGACAGTGGTAGAACATCAATCTCCAACGATGATTAGGACGTAATCCTGCAGACGCACTCACACGAGTATTTCCATAATTGAAAATCGCAGATCAAACGTCCAAACGAGGAAGACCTTTCAGTTGCATGAACGTTTGCAGAATGTAAACAGGATTGTTGTCAACTTGATTTCTATAGGGCCGTCAACAGGCTTGGGTTCAGTGTTACAAGGATGAAAGTGGGCACTGTGTAATGCCTGTCTACTGGAGACCAACAAGTAGACACTGTCTGCCTGACTGTCTCGTCTCACCCAACTGTACACACAGACACTGTCTGCCTGACTGTCTTGTCTCACCCAACTGTACACACAGACACTGTCTGCCTGACTGTCTTGTCTCACCCAACTGTACACACAGACACTGTCTGCCTGACTGTCTTGTCTCACCCAACTGTACACACAGACACTGTCTGCCTGTCTGTCTTGTCTCACCCAACTGTACACACAGACACTGTCTGCCTGTCTGTCTTGTCTCACCCAACTGTACACACAGACACTGTCTGCCTGACTGTCTTGTCTCACCCAACTGTACACACAGACACTGTCTGCCTGACTGTCTTGTCTCACCCAACTGTACACACAGACACTGTCTGCCTGACTGTCTTGTCTCACCCAACTGTACACACAGACACTGTCTGCCTGTCTGTCTTGTCTCACCCAACTGTACACACAGACACTGTCTGCCTGACTGTCTTGTCTCACGCAACTGTACACACAGACACTGACTGTCTCGTCTCACGGAACTGTACACACAGACACTGTCTGCCTGACTGTCTCGTCTCACGGAACTGTACACACAGACACTGTCTGCCTGACTGTCTTGTCTCACGGAACTGTACACACAGACACTGTCTGCCTGACTGTCTCGTCTCACGGAACTGTACACACAGACACTGACTGTCTTGTCTCACGGAACTGTACACATAGACACTATCTGTTTGACTGTCTCGTCTCACAGAACTGTACACACAGACACTGTCTGTTTAACTGTCTCGACTCATGAAACCGTACACAGACACTATCTGTTTAACTGTCTCGTCTCACCTTACCGTACACATAGACACTGTCTGTTTAACTGTCTCGACTCATGAAACCGTACACATAGACACTATCTGTTTGACTGTCTCGACTCATGAAACCGTACACAAAGACACTGTCTGCCTGACCATCTCGTCTCACCCAACTGTACACACAGACACTGTCTGCCTGACTGTCTTGTCTCACGGAACTGTACACACAGACACTGTCTGATTGTGTGTACTATATTCTTGTAAGTTTTGTGTGTGATGTGCTGTGTAAGCCTTTGTGTGTGATGTACCGTGTAAGCCTTGTGTGTGATGTACCGTGTAAGCCATGTGTTCACATCCATGTCACATCACCGCTGGGGACACTCAGGGTGGGCTTCACACATTGTATCCATGTGTGGAATGGAACCTGGGCCTCCGGTATCATTAGCGAGCCTACCCCCCTTGCTCCCTTTGGGCCAGAAGAAATCTATAAACCTATTAAGTCTTTATGAGCTGTTGTTACTTCACAACACAGGTACCTATTGTCGATACAAGTTGATGCTGTCATCTACAGCTGCGCCTCCACGGTATGATGGACAACCGATCTATATACAATGGTGTGTTACCCTTTCTGCACTCAGACAGCTTGACATGCCGGACAAACAGTGAATCCCTTGCTGTATTCACGCTGCTGTACCTGTCGCTGACCTAGCATTTACTACTTCAATAATGGCACATCACTCGAAGGACCTTGAGTAAAACTCCTCAACCAGAGACTAAGAGTGAGGCTGTGCTCAACTGGTTAACACACAAACATTTCAACCAGAGACCAAGGATGAGGCTGTGCTCAACTGGTTAACACACAAACATTTCAACCAGAGACTAAGAGAGAGGCTGTGCTCAACTGGTTAACACACAAACATTTCAACCAGAGACCAAGGGTGAGGCTGTGCTCAACTGGTTAATACACAAACATGTCAACCAGAGACCAAGGGTTATGCTGTGCTCAACTGGTTCACACACAAACATGTCAACCAGAGACCAAGGGTTATGCTGTGCTCAACTGGTTCACACACAAACATGTCAACCAGAGACAAAGAGTGATGCTGTGCTCAACTGGTTCACACACAAACATGTCAACCAGAGACCAAGGGTGAGGCTGTGCTCAACTGGTCCACACACAAACATGTCAATAAGGTTTGAGATGGCCTCATTTTCAAGTGATAAACCTTCAGATGGTCTATCGATAAAGTTATTTGATCACTGGTCAATCCCTTATGACCTTGAGCCAAATGCTAAATTCAGAATATGCAGAAAGAAACCAGTAGTGGATCCAATGACAGTTTGTGTAACAACTGAAAAGCCAACAATCATCGCAATCAAAGTATAATGAACAAAATAAGTTAGGGATCATGAACAATTTTTTTGTATTGAAGGTGAGGTGTGTTTGTGTGATTGTGTTCGTGAGCAATCGTGTGTGTGTGTGTGTGTGATTGTGTGTGTGTGTGTGTGATTGTGTGTGTGTGTGTGTGATTGTGTGTGTGATTGTGTGTGTGTGTGTGTGTGTGTGTGTGTGTGTGTGTGTGTGTGTGTGTGTGTGTGTGTGTGTGTGTGATATTGTGTTTGTGAGCAATCGTGTGTGGCTGCTCCGGACTGATGCCGATTTATAGTGCTAGCCCACTGAGATACCATGCTGCAGTTAAACATGAATACCCCACTCAGACACAGTATACTGACTCCGAGCCGACCAGTCCTTGTTTTAGCCCCTTAAAGCAGAGCGCCAGACAGGGCAACAACAAGTAACATCTTTGAACGTCTTTTGGTATGACACAGTCAGGGACCAAACCCATGACCTTCTGCTCTACCACTAGACCACGGAGACTGAAGACCGTTGTGAAGAATGAAAACACAATTTCATTCAAATATCCCCCAAAATATTGATGATCCCTAATATATCAGCTTTTCTTAAATTCAGAATTGAGGGGTACATTCACATTGTTTTTTTAGCTTGCATTCAAAGCAAGAATATAAAGCTAAGAATGAAAACATCTCTTCCTATTTATTGGTTCTGTTATCTCTACAAAGCCACAATGTTATTTGTAATATACATATCAACCTCAATTGGATATTTTTAATTCCCATTTGGGAATATTTACTGACATTTGCTGCATATCAGCCTCTGAGCAGGCCCAGATAAAACTCTGTGTAAACCAAAGAAGGGGTGTTGCTTAACCTTTTTCCAGATGTATATGTATATTTCTGCTGCATGTCAATTATTCCAGTTCCAATGTTCAGATGTTTTTGGTCACAGTAAGTCTTCCGCTGCAATACAATCTCATGCTGTAAAAACACACGACAATTGAGGCATCTGATTTCAGGCTTCCATAGAATCACATAAAACCAGTCCGACATTGATTATGGAAAACACTTACCATTTTTCTTGTAAAGAAGAATTTCAGTTTTGGTTTCTTTTTTGTCTTCCAAGGCACTTTCAATCTTCTGTTTTTCGTCATTGTCCGTGTCTTTACCGAACAGGAACTTGCAGACACAGCGCTTCGCCATGACCTGAGCCCGACCAAACCCAGTGAGTTCACAAAAGCCATCAGAACAGTAGACAATGGGCTTCCCTGCCACCTGAGCATTGCCCAGCACGAAGTTACTGTCTGCAACAGAAAAAATAAATAATTGTTTCAGTTGAAGATCATTAAACTTCCAGGGCGGCCGGGTAGCCTCGTGGTTCGAATCCCAACATGGGTACAATGTGTGAAGCCAATTTATGATGTCCCCCGCTGTGATATTGCTGGAATATTCCTAAAAGGGGCATAAAAACCAAACCCACTCACTCATTAAACTTCATTTTCTTTTCATCTCTTTGAATAATCTGTCAAAAATTGAAAACACAAATAAACTTATTACTGAATATGTCCAGATGCTACCTGAAAAGTGTTTTTTGGTTTTGTTTGTGTTTCATGCTGCTCTCGACCGCCTCCGTGGTCTAGTGGAAGAGCGTCTGCCCGGAGAGCGGAAGGTCCGGGGTCGATCCCCGGCCGCGTCATACCAAAAGACGTTAAAAGATGGTACTTGTTGTTACCCTGTCTGGCGCTCGGCATTAAGGGGCTAAAACAAGGACTGGTCGGCTCGGAGTCAGTATACTTTGTCTGAGTGGGGTATTCATGTTAAACTGCAGCATGGTATCTCAGTGAGCTAGCACTATAAATCGGCATCAGTCCGGACTAGTACAAGCAGCCACACAAACACATACACGTACATGCACGTCGCTTTATAAGTGCAATAATCTTGGACGCGACGTTAAACCCCATTTCACCTCACCTCACCTCATGCCGCTCTCCGTAATATTTCTAGCTGTGTGACAGTGGCCTGTACATAATCTGGACCAGACATACCAGTGATTGGTGTTATGAGCAATGGTCCACATCATCAGGACACGATTATCCCGCTGTCAACCAGGTCACTGAGTGTGACCGCCCAATCCACCTGCATGTGGATGTTGATTTATTATTTATATAAACAAATATATTAATATTTGCCCCTTTTGAAAAGCAGTGGAGTATCAGAGACTTTTAAGACCTTTTTGTACAAGTAACCTTAATTAAAACACATCTGTGACCTCATTCTATTGTTTGAACAATCCATTATTTTTCAGGAATGGACAGTTGTTTGTCAATTATACATTATCTTGAACCAACAGTTCAACTAATTTACAGCTGGAATTGATGGCTCTATTTTTTAAAATTATTTTGACAAGTGAATGATTTCAAATTTTGACGGAAAGCATGTGTCGCCAGCGGAGTTCAGCCCGCATCATTTGATTTGAGGACGTCTAATTGTCGACCACAGCTACGGCGGCACATGATGGTATGGTGTGAAATTAACTATTAACGTATTTTAAAATATTTGCATAATCTTTAAAACTTGACAAAATGTATCTAATGTTGTGTTACTGCAGGATACCTATATAACAGGTGTTGACGAGTGATGGCAAGCAGAGGGGTATACCTCAACACAACTCACACAATTGAGTGGATGACACAACAATCTGACTACAATAAAGAAGAGTTTATTAATACACACAATACTGGCTTACATAACAACTAAGGGCACCCTAGCAATACTATCGGCTACGCAATATGGCAATGTTAAATATGCAAAGTCATAATCACCAGTGCTATGATTCTCTGAATCCACATCAGACATCGTTATTTAACAATAATTAAATTTTCGTTGTCTTCATTGAAACTCCTGCATTCTGATTAGCCGAATTGGTCACGTGTTATTGCATTCATTTCCCAAAGAATGTAAAAAAAATAAGCCACGCCCACCGAGGCGCACTACTTTTATTACTGTGGAATGTCGGGGAATCCCAATAGTACAGTCGAGGGATTCCCCTTTCTGCTCACGTGTATCGTCATGCTACGCGGAATCATACAGTTTGCACATCAGTTTTTCAATTCATACCTCAATGAACTGAAAAAAATACACAGTCAATTCTGAAATGGTACATTGTTTACCGAGCATCAACATGATCTCTGTTCTCTCGGTCCGACATGGGTGCAACTTCACAAACAGGTAATGGCGTCCTCAGTATAGAGCTAACAGGAAGAGGCAACAATCAAGGCTGTGTCACATCAAGTTACAAACATCACTTCCCTTCTACCACAAGCACATGTGCTTTTTAAAAAATGCTTTGCTGATAAGCTACCTACTTTCACTGAAACACAAAAGCTACTCGCTTGAAATCAGTCAGATCACAAGCTGTTCATTCATTTACAAAACAAGCAATTCACTCGACTGAAAGCCCCTTACCTCAAGTCAAGTCTGATTGCACCTAATATACTGATCAACAGATGAAAGTATACACCCCATATTCAAACATACATCAGCACATACAACACAATGTTCATATTTAAAGCAATTGGATAAACCTATGAAGAGAAAATAATCAGGTAAACATATATCCTTGATCAGGGCTCTATATTTCCTGTAATCCCATTCAGCATGTATTTTCAACATGCCAGCAATTGATAAAATACTAGTTTAAGACTCCACGAAATAATGAAGAGCCGTGTACCATGCATTGGAAATATCAGCTCGTGACGGAGCTTGGTGCACGTGCAACAGTGGTTCAGACAGCATGTCCCTAGTGCCTGAAGTGGTTCAGACAGCATGTCCCTAGTGCCTGTAGTGGTTCAGACAGCATGTCCCTAGTGCCTGTAGTGGTTCAGACAGCCATGTCCCTAGTGCCTGTAGTGGTTCAGACAGCATGTCCCTAGTGCCTGTAGCGGTTCAGACAGCATGACTCTAGTGCCTGTAGCGGTTCAGACAGCCATGTCTCTAGTGCCTATAGGGGTTCAGACAGCATGTCCCTAGTGCCTGTAGTGGTTCAGACAACATGTCCTTAGTGCCTGTTGTGGTTCAGACAGCATGTCCCTAGTGCCTGTAGTGGTTCAGACAACCATGTCCCTAGTGCCTGTAGTGGTTCAGACAGCATGTCCCTAGTGCCTGTAGTGGTTCAGACAGCATGTCCCTAGTGCCTGTAGTGGTTCAGACCACCATACATAGAGAATATTGCTTGATTTGACCTGGGAGAGGAACAGCGGAACTAAATCAGTGCGGACAATAATAACACATACAGACTGTCAAAGGAAGACACTCTTTGGATACACAGGCCTGGACTTCAGTATAACTATAACTATAATACATGATATGTTTAGCTTGAAGATGTCCTACTGAGGACCACTGGCTGTGACATTATTGTGATGATGACGTCTGTTGAGTTCAAGAGGCCTTATTGCCTAAAGTACAACATAAAGTACAAGACATAAAAACATCTTTGCCAGAAATTAGGAACACATTTAATTTCAAATAATAATGGTATATCCAAAATATTTTCATAGATCTTCTTTGAGTTAGTTTAGAATAATGATTAATAGCTGTATGGAAAGTATTTCTGAAGTAACTACAACATCAGCCAAATCCCATGCTTATTGCAATAGCACACCAACTCCGACAATTAATCTGATAAAAAGGATTGCTCCTGAGGATGAGAGAAATGATCCGATAAACTTTTAAGCATCAAATCAATTAGGATGCTATTCCCATCCCTGTCCTCGGAGGAATGATACCACGCTTGATACACCACCAGCCCCCATCAGCCCCTGGTGCCATGTACAGGTTTCCTATTGCTTTACGGCACAACACCATTAGCAGCAAGATGTTTAATAATCTCTGACCCTTCTAACTTCTATTTCTGCTTCAGTTAATCCCGAATGTTCCAACAAGCATCACATCGTGAAGTGGGCAGGGAGGAGAGTCGTCACTATACCTTAAGGCTGGCTAAAAAGATAGATAATCGGAACTTTTGTCGATAGTTAGAACAATTAAGGATTATCGAAATGAAATCGGCAAGCCTCAGAGTCTTTCCCCTTTAATCACCGAGTGTTGATGTATTTGATATCAAAAGACACTCGGGTGAGATTTTATTTATCATCCAACATCATTCTTCCAACATTTTCAGTGTGTAGACAGTAAGAAGCAGTGTCTTAAGCGTGAAAAGTACTGCTGACAGCTTCAGTAGCAGAGCTATTTCTATTTCTCCAATATTTATCGATAACTGATTGATAATTAGTTATCGATTATCGATCTCAATGATCTGCATGGACAACCAGCCCTACAACACCCCCAGCCCTGATACCTGCATTGGCCTTTACTGTAGGGCACAATAACCACTGATCAAGATGCGGGCGACGGTGTTGTTGTCACGGAATAATCAAGCTGATCAGTCTGTTTGAGAAGCACCACTGTGTCCTGAGGTGACATATCATTCTCTACTTTTCCCTGATCAATGGAAACCAGATAGCTCTAAAGAATTACTTCAACATGTTCATTTCCAAGTTACTTATTTGTGAAAAAACAAGCAAGAGAATGTTGGACATTTTAGACATGGGAACTGCTGGTATTTTGCATGTAAAAAAACTTTTATTTGTTTGAAGATTAACTCAATAGAATAGGCATGCAGTCCGCCTCCCAGCCCCCCCCCCCCTCCCCTGCTGTTTTTTCTGTCACATTGTAACTTTGTTTATGTGCACTCCTGTTTCATAATGTTGGAATTTGCCTCTGGTTACATATGATTAAAACTCAGAATTTCTGCAATGATCTTCACTGGCAATGACTTAGACTACCATACCTCTAATTACAAAAAAAATTCCTCTCTTCTAACGGTCCCTGTAATGGTGCAGATCCAACAATGACTGACAAAAGCATTTTGTACTATAAGATATATCTACTAGTTTAAAGAAGTTAAAGACACCCGATTCTTTCCTATTACTACAGTTAATCTGTCATGCCATGATTCTTTCCTATTACTACAGTTAATCTGTCATGCCATGATTCTTTCCTATTACTTTAGTTGACCTGTCATGTCATGATTCTTTGATAATACTTTAGTTGACCTGTCATGTCATGATTCTTTGATAATACTTTAGTTGACCTGTCATGTCATGATTCTTTGATAATACTTTAGTTGACCTGTCATGTCATGATTCTTTCATAATACTTTAGTTGACCTGTCATGTCATGATTCTTTGATAATACTTTAGTTTTTGACCTGTCATGTCATGATTCTTTCATAATACTTTAGTTGACC